AAACTAACCACCGATTTGTAAATTAATTTAACATTTAAATTCTCTGGATATCCATTTTTCTTCCTCTGAACTAAAAATATTTAATTGAACATAATTTTCTGAAATTTGTGTCATTTTCCACAATCTATTTCTAAATGTTTGTTGTTTTTCCTCCATATAAATATTTAAACCTTTACTTTTATCTAATAAATATTTTTTTTTTCAACACAAATTTAGCCTAGCAATGTCAATTATTTAGAGCGGAAAGTTTTACTATTCCATAAGTTATACTAATTGTTTTACAATTCTCGTCAGTTTAAGTTTTTAATGTGTATTTGACGGTTAAAATTTGATTCTCGCTTACTATTTTAAGTGGGTCTGACCAGATTTCTTATGTTGTTAAGAAATGTTCGACAAATTTAGGTTATTTTTTATTTTAGCGTTTTATCTCAATTTATTTAATATAGCTTCTGTTTTTTTTTGAACTAATGAATTAAATTGTTCTTTCTGAACTATTATTTACTTTTCTTTCTAACAAGTTTTTAATTTAATTCATATTTTAATATCTTATTCATAGGTAACTAACATTACATGATTACTTTTGTTGATTATATAATAATTTTCTCCTTTCTCAACGAAATTTTGCACTTTAATTTCGTTGGATACCAATTTTGAAGCCTAAGCTATGGTATTTTCTACATTTTCCATTTCGTTCAATCTCTTCTACAAATTTTCCATTTCATTCAGAAATTATCAAAAAAATTTATCTTCAATTTTGTACCTTGCCGTTGTTTTAAATCTTCATATACAAAATATTCACTGAAAAAAAATTTCGAGATATTTAAATCTCAAGGAGTATCTGGCTTTTAAGCCTGCGGCGTATGCACCCAGCTTTACCCGCTTAATATCCTTCTCAAGGCACCTAGCCGACGGAGTGTGCACCTAGCTGCACCCGCCTTGATTTATTATTATTACTGTACAGATTTTCATTATTATATTAAGTACCTGGCACCTAGCCGACAGAGTGTGCACCTAGCTTCACCTGCCTTCAGTACTACAACTTTTATTCACATGTGCAAAGAGATAATCAAGAGGTAGCAAAGAGCATTTTTCAATACCGCGGCGCTACTTTGTTTCTCTGATTTTGATTTAAAACTAACGGTTAGCATATCTTTTCTACTTTTTAAAACTTTAAACTTTAGAACACTTTTTAACCAAACAAAAAAATTTCATGACATTCTTCTAGCTCAATATTTTAATTTTATTTTCTTCGACTTTTAACTTTCGATTCTAATTTGTTCTAATTTTGTCTTCATTTAACCTCTTTTTGCAAAATTCTTATTTTAGATCATTTAAGGAGTTTAAGCTCGAGCTCTCAATTTTTTGAGGATTTGTTAATCTCTTTATTCTACTTTCAGCACATTTAATTATTTAATTTACGACTTTTCTGGAATTCCGTTTTTTATGCTTTAATTTCATGCGCATTTCTCTCGACAAGGCTTGCCCGGGACAAGTGGCACCAAATGTTGGGTTTGGGTTCCGAAGCCTTTCGAGGATTATACAAATTCTACTCTTTAAATAACTTTATTTACATCTAACTATTTACAAATTAAAATATATACATAAGGGAGGGAAAAGGGGACAATTACAAGAGTCTGGCCAGACCTGATAAAAACACTTCTAATTAGATTTGAATGACCATTTTGGATGAGTATTTATAGGGGACATTAATAAGTCGAGATTGGCGAAAACAAGTGAATAACAAATATTAAGATAAGGGTCGGGAATTGTGATAGACTCTGATAACGGTCGGGATTCCTTTTAATATAGAAAGAGGTCAAAATATATGTGCCTGTGAATGCATGTGAATGCAACATTTATTTTTAGTTTGTTTATTTGATTAGGAGGGATACAGCAATAAATAAATAAATAAATTTATATCTTTTTTAATTTTTAAGTAATATTTTCCGTTTCAATATTATATTTTCTTCCAGTTATTTTCTTCCAGTTACAATGCTCCAATCGAGACTAATTTTTACCAATTATTAGATACATGGATAGAAAAAGTTTCAATTTCTTTTCAGTTTAATTTAGTGTATTAACATACATACCAAATTTCGAAAATATACATTAATTTAACATTAAAAAATTTTTAAAAATTAAATAGGCCCACAATTAAGTACTTTATACTTTTGCGGCGGAGTAGACTGCTTTCATTATTTAATTGTTTTTGTTCCCGTCTTTGTTTTTTCATTTTCTTTTTTTTGTTTATTTATTTGAAGAATTTTTAGTTTTTTTTCAATTAGTATACTATTCCCGTTCTTTCTTTTTTTATAAATTTTTTATTTTCATTTATCGATTTTTGGATAGTTTAGGGGATAATAACCAATTGATTTAATTAATTACTCATTAAAATCCTCAAATTCGCTTGCGCTTCCTCAACTAAAAAAAGAGAGTAATTTTGTTTTGAAAAATTTTTTAATTGTAACCTTTCCTCAACAAACTAGGAGAGGGGAGTGAAAGGTTTAAAGAGGAATAAATTACTTTTGAGCAGCAATTAATGATTTATAGGAGGGAGAAAAGAATTTCTTCTTTTTTTAAGTCAATAAATAAATAAAAATTTTTTTGGATTTTTATAATTTTTTTAAATTTTTATGAATAGAAATTACATATGTAAAAAAAATTTTTTTTAAATATTTTTCTTATTTAACTTTTTTAAAGCAGGGCTCTCATTGGAGAAATGTTAAGTGTAAGCAAAAAAGTTTAATTTGGAAGTACCTAGGGGGGCAAAAATAAAATTTAAAAAATTTATTCTCGTTCAAGACACTTACATTTTTCTCTCAAAAAGACTTAAAGCAGGCGAAAATTTTGAGAATTTTAAGGAAAATTTAATTTTTAACCTAGTTCATTTTTAATTTCGTACTGAGGTCGGTTTATAACAAATGAGAGAGCTTTGTTTTTAAAGTTTAATTATTTAATATTTTTAGAAAAATACAAAATATTTTTTTATTAAAAAGATTTTTTTCCATTTTTAATAAAAAAAGTAAAAAAACTTTCTTTGTAAAAGTTTTTAACGGAAGAATAAAAGTCCAAAATAAAAAAATAAATTCAATTTAGATTCTCTTGGGATATTAAAAACTAAAAAATTTATAAAGAAATATTTTTTAGAAAATATATTTTAAGTAAAAAAAGAAATTTATTTAAAAAATATTTGTCGGTATTTTCTTTTTAATTTTTTTTAAATTTATTTTTGGTCATTTGTAGCCAAAAAATACTTTTCTTTTTATTTTTTAAATCTTTTATTCTTTACTTTTTTTTAAATATAATCTAGCTATAAGTAATTTAGAGAATTTCCATTTTACGAGATTATCCTATTTAAAAATTAATTGCGTGGGAATTAATGAGGGGAATAAATACATAAATAAATAAATAAATAAATTTAATTAATTAAATTTATTAACAAAAAAAAATAAAAATTATTTTTTAAATTTAATAAATTATATCGATTCTTTGTCTTTTTTTCTAAATTTTTATTTATTTTTTGGCCATCTGCTTTATAATCTTTTTTTTATATCCAAAATTTATTTGTTCAATCTCCCAATAAAATTACTCCCTAAGCGCAAATTTTCTTTTTTTTTCAATAAAGAAAGAACCCCCCCCCTCTCCCCCCAATTTAAATCTACTATTTATTACACTTTATTAGAGACCGGCACCTGCGCACAGAATTCTTCTTCTTTTTTTACTAATAAAAATACTTTAAAGATGAAAAAAGGAAGAGGGAAGAACTGTCTAAGAAAAAAACATTTTTCCTTAAACTCTTCTTGCCCATTTATTTATTTTTGAACGTCTTTGCTTTTAAAATATTAAATTATAAAATATTTCCTCTCTAAATATTTTTTAAAATTATTTTTATTTTACCTTTTTATGTTCCTTTAACTTTTCCTTTTTAAATTATTTTCTTAAAATAAATATTTTAATTTTGTTTTTCTAATTAACTGGAAAAATATTAAAAACTCTTTTTTAAATTGCGGAAATCTTTAAATAAAAAATTAATATATTTTTGTGTTCAAATATTTATATTCCTTTAATTAAATTTTAAAAACAATCTTCTATTTATTTTTATTTTAATTAACAGTCCTTTCAGGTTTTCCTAAATTCTTATTATTTTGATAAAAAATACAAATATATAAAATGGGGATTTTACAAAATACGAGGCTAAAACTAAAAGTAGAACTAATAGAGAGATTGGAAAACAATTTTTTTATCAAAAAATTGTTACAAACAATTTTTGATTTAACCAAATTTGTAAAATCTAACAACATTTTGTTTCTATTAAATAATCCCTTTCCCCTTCCCTCTCCAACTGTCCAAAAATTCCCTTGCTCTTTTTATATTTTGCTAATCTTTTTTTCCTCTTTTCCATTAAGTATTACAAAAAGATTAAAAAATATACTCAGATTAGGTTGCAACGCTTCATAAAATCCAAAATATATGGATATTACTAATTAATATTACTAATTAAATTTTACACATAATTATTATTTATTTTTTATCTAAAATTTAAAATTAAACTTTTCAAATCAATAATTATTATTTAATTAATTGTTTTTAAATAAAATTTAAAATATTTTATTTTTCATTAAAATACGAGAAATTGTCCAATTTCCTCAATAACATTTTTATTTTTATGAGAATCGAGACAAGATGTGTAACAACATTCACAATTATTTATATACAAAAAAAAGTCAAAATTTAAATTAGCTTTTTTATTAGCTCAAATAAAATATTTTTATTTTCTCATACTAAAAATAATTAATAAATAAATTATATTTTTTGTTTATTTAACTTTTAATAATTTTATTTAAAATATTTTTTTAGATTACATTAAAAATTATTTTATTTTTATTTTTTCCTTCCCCCAAAAATTAACAACAATTTATTTATTAAAAATGCGAGAATATCAAAAACTTTCTCTCCGTAAAACACAACAAAATAATCGGCAACATTTTTTAAAGGGAAGAATGGACTCTCCCCCTCCTTATTGTTGTTCTTCTGGAACTGCCTCTTCCTCTCTTTCTCAACCAATAAGTCTCGAATTTGGTCCCCCTCCAATTAGCCGTTTGTGTCTGTTAAACTTATATTTTATTTTTCTTTTTTTAAAGTTCAAAATTTGTCTTCTTCAAAAGAAAATTGGCCAAAAGAGGAAATAAATAATGAAGGAAGATTTAATTCTTTTATCAAAACCTCCAAACCTCCCCCAAATCATTTTAAATATGGTGGAAACCCAATTAAATTTGATGATTTAATTTATGGATCTTTAAATAATTTTTGTTGGAAAAATAATGAAAATAAAAAGACAAAAACTTCTTTAATGATTTTTAGTAGTTCTGAGGATTTGACAACATCTGATTCTGAAATTTGTAAATATTCTTCTATTAATAGAGGTGGTAGAATAAATGAAGGAATTAATGGAGGAATGATTAAGTAAGTTTTTAAATAAATCTTGAATTGCTAATTTATTTGAGTATTTAATTTACTAAAAATTATTTTGTATAGCGCAGATGTCCAAACTTTGATATTAAATAAAGATAAATATATTTTTATAGTTTAATAGTATGTTGGCCATAAATAAAAAGAGTTTATTTATTTTTTGAGTGATTTTGGGCGGAGATGGACATACATAAATATTAGTGCTAAACAATTCTTTTACATAAAAATATATGCCTGTTTAAACATTTTAAAATATTTCCCTAAATTTATTCGGACAAAAAGTATATTTCTAATTTTATTTTTAATAATTCATTCATTTTAACTTCAAAAATTAAAAAAAAAGATTAAGAATAATTTAATGACTTCTCAATTAAATTATTATTTTTTTATCTTTTTTTTTAATTTAAAGGGTACTTCCTTCCTCTTTTACTTTTTTTCTTATCTAAATTTATTCTTAACCAATAAAAACTTTATTTTTTATGACCCTTTATTTAAAAAAATATTCTAACCGAAAAAAGACAAAAATAAATAACTGCGCGGCCACTCAAAAAACATTTAAAGACGGGCCTCTCTTATTTTTCTAACCAAAATTATTTTTACTTAAATGGACCCTTTTTGATCAAAAAACTAACAAAATTTTTTTTAAGTTTTGGCAAATTTCCATCATTATCAACAATTTATCCAAATAATTCTTCTCTTTCTTTGGATGATTCTGAACAACAAAAAGAAATGTTAACAACAAGAAGGCATTACAATAATGAAGGAGGGGGAGGGGGATTAACTTTAAGTGATTCTGAGACAGAAATGACAACAAATTATTTAATTAAAAATAAAAAAGAATTTAATGGCCACAATCATTTAATTAATAAATTAAAAAAACAAAAAACCCCACAAAGAATTCCGGCACTTGAAATGGTTGAAGTAATTTTAAATTGGACTTAAATTAAAATATAATTATTTCAATAAAGGAAATATCCCCAGTTTTGCCCCGTCCAAATTTAAATGATGAAGATTTTGATGTCCCTCCATTACCCCGACCTTTACAGTCAATTGGGAGGGAATGGCGTCCAATACAAACATCTACTTTGGCTAATCTACATTCTTTTTTACCTCGAACAAATCCTAGACAACAAAAAAAGAATGAAGGGGGAATTGTTAATAATAATTTGGTGAAATTAATTAATTAAATTTAAATTAATAATTTCCTTTTTTGTAGCCTCAAGTAATTCCTTTAGACCCTCCCAGAAGTTTATTCGATCCTTTTTTTCCTCAACAATCTTCTTCTTCATCAACAACAATTTCTGCTCGCCCCGAACAATATAATTTGCCTTCTGCTTTAGCAAAAAGTTTTGGAATTAAAGGAATTCTTTTTATTCAAATAGCCATTGTTGGGAATTCTTTATTAATTGTTCATGTCCGTAATGGGGCTTTGTTTTTAGAGAATTGTCCTTCTTCTTGTTATGTTAAAGTAGTTTTGAAATAATTTTAAAAAAATTATTATTTTTTTAAAAAAGGTGGAGATTCGTCGAAGTCCATCAAACAGAAAACGTTCAAAATACGATCACCGTTTCCGTTCAAAATTAAGTAGCGAAGTTAGGGAAAGTAATTGGCCTGAATTTTTTGATGATTTTCAATTTAAAATAAGTCCAATTAATTTACAATATGGAGATAAATTGGGGTTATCTTTGTATATTACAACAACACCAACAAATATATCTTCTACTTCTACTTCTTTACCTTCTGCTGCACCGTTGGTTTTTTTAAAATAAAATTTTTTTAAATAAAAAGTTTAAAGAAAGGAAAAAAAAGATATATTATTTTAAATATTTTGTTGAAATTTAATTTTAAATTTAGATAAAAATCTTTAAATTTTATTTTTAAATAAAAAAATATTTTTAGAGCTGCCGAATTATTGGGAAGAATGAGTTTTTCCTTGCGAAAATTTTTCCGTTTAGCTAAACAACAACAAAATGATTTAATTAATGGAAGACAACAATCCATTCAGGTTTTTTAAAAAGTTTTTTAAAAAATAAATTAATTTCTTTTAAAGATTTGTGAAGGAGGGTTTTTCCTTTTACCTGACAGACTTGGACAACAAAGCCATTTAAGTCAAAATAATATACTTCATAAAAAATATTATGACGAAATTGGTGTTACTGGGTGTTCTTCTATTTCGAGTAATTCTTCTTTTGGATCACCATTTAAAGTAATTTTTTTAAAATTCATTTCAAAATTTCTCCTCTCTTTTTCTCTTTCCTTCCCCCTTTTAATTTTTAAATTTAACATTCAAAAAAATATTTTAAACAATTTATTTCACCCACTCGTTAATATTTAAAAAAATAAATGGCTAAAAAAGTTCTTTTAAAGTTTTTTTATGATTAATTTTTTTAAAGCTTTCCTTAAAAGGTGCAGAAAATTATGGAACTAATAAATAAATAAATATTTTTTTATTTTATTTTTTATAAATTTAATTACGTCATCTCCCACTCTAATATTTTTTATAAAAAATAATAATTTTTTTTATTTCTCTTAATATTTTTTTTATCAATCTTTGACAGTTAAAAATTAACCACAAATTAATTTTAAAAAATAAGCACCTGTCTCTCTTTTCTTTTTAAATTCTTTTGTTAAATTAAATTATAATATCAATAAATTGTTTAGTAGAAAAAAAATAAATTATTTTTGGCAAAAACAAAATTTACGGCAAATTAGCCAATCCCTAAATTTAAAATTTAATAACTAAAAATTAAAATATTTGTTTATAAATCCAAAAAAAAATTTTATTTAATAAATATTTTGATTAAATATTTTAATTTCCAATTAATCACTTTATTTTTTTAAAAATCAATTTAACCAATTTTGGCTTCCACCACCCACTCATTTCTTTAAAAAAACATTTATTTCCTTTTGTTTTTCAAAAACAATATTTATTTATTTATTTTTCTGACGTAAAGGAAAAAGGAAAGGCAAAAATGCCAAGAAATTTTAAAAAGAAAAACTTCACTAGACATGACAAATAAACTTTTTCCTCTTATCATTTCCTTTTCCCCCCAAGAGGATTTTAAAGTTTTTTAAAAAAATATGTTTTTTATTAAATTTTGGAAAAGTAAATATATTTTTAATTTTATTTTGAATGTTTTTTTCCTCATTCCCTTACCTACTTTTTCGGTCTTGGTCTTGAGTCTTGGAAAATTTTCGGTCTTGGAAGTCTCTAATATTTATTTCTTAACTTCCCCTCAATTTATCAAATATCCAAAAATAGTCTTTTTTTGTACCTTTAAATATTTAAACTTTTTTAATATTTTTTGACATTCTCTAGGGTCTCATCTTTTACATAAAACATTCTTTTTAAAGGCTTCCTTATCCATCTTTGTATTTATAAAAAATCCCCCTCCCCTCCCCCTATTCCCTCTAGAGAGTCTATATAATATTTAAAAACCCCTACTATTTTTAGATTTAAATGTAAAAAGAAAAAAAATTCTTTCTAAACTTCACCTGCCCTTATTTAATTCTTAATTTTTATTTTATTTTACCTCATTTCTTTACCTAATAATTATTTTAATTTTTTATTATATCAAATAAAATAAATAGACTTTCATTTTATTTATCAAATAATTTTTGTCTAAATTACCTATATATTTTTAAAAAATAAAATTAATTTTAAATTAATATATTCATTTTTATTTTGCAATAAATAAATATAAATTATTATTATTAATCTTTTTTTGTTTTGTTTTTTATTTTAATATTCCCTTTTAATTTTTCTTATTTTCCTTCCTCATTTTCATGGTTTCTTTTATTAAAAATAAATTTTGTTATATTTATTTTTAATAAATATATTTTTAAATTTAAATAAATTAATTTAAAATTAAAATATATAATTATTTTAATTTAATTCTTCTTTAAATTTAATTTATATATCAATTTAACTAATTTATTCTTTCCCTTTTTTGTACTACAATCCCCTCCTCGTTTACAAAAAATTCCTTTTTAATTCATTAGCCTCAATTCATTTTCCTTTAATTTTAGTGTCCATAAAAAGATTTTAAAAGCCGCTAACCGTTTGGAATAAGAAAAATAAAAATCGGCTTAACTAGAAAAAAGCTTATAAATATTTAAATGGGAAAATTTAAAGGGATTTTTTGTTTATATAAAGTTAAAAAAGGGAAGAAGAACATCTGTGGTTCTCTTCTGCCCTTATATTTTATTTGCCAATTTTCATTCCTTTTTTATATTCGGGAATGTCTCCCACCCTTTATTGAATTTATTTGCAAAAAAGTTAAAAAAATAATGCCGTGCTAAAATTCTTTTAAAATTTTTAAAATGTTTAAAAATTAATTTAAATATTTTCAGATGATGAGTGAACCAGAATGGGCGCCTTCATTAGTCCCCAATTTAGGACGAACAAATTTTCTTAAAAATACAAATTTTGGTAAAAATCAGAAAATAGCAGCTACAAATAATTGTTCAAATTCTTCTTCTTCTCAATCAGGTGTTGATTGCAAAAGAAGGCAAATGATGGCTGGTAATTAAATATTTAAAAGAGAGAGATTAATTTAAATAAATAAATACAGATAGTTCTGATTTTACTTCTTTAACTTCTTCAATTGATGGCGGGGGTGTTCACAATGTAGAAGAAGATTCTTTTAATGGAAGTGGTGGAAATATTGAAAATTTAAATAAAAATAATAATTGTTCTTCCTCTACTTCCTCCTCTTCTTGTCTACCACCAAAACCTTCACAAAAACAACAAATATATTCTTCTACTTCTACTTCAACAACAGAATTACCTCTAAATAAAAAAGAAAATAAAGAAGAATTAAATAAACAACATTCTCAACAACCTCAACAATTTATTAAAAGAAATTCTGTAACTAATTCGGCCCCTTTAACTGATAAATTACAAAGAAAAAACCAATTGTAAATAAATAATTAATTAATTTAAATTATTTTTTTCCTTTAAAGAGGGCCGCTTGGAAGAACTTTTAATTTTTTAAAAAGTAAATTAGACTTTAGTTTATCTGCTTCAGTTTTATGTCCATCAAAAGAAGAATGCCGTCTTTGGCAAGAAGATTTCTTTACTTTACTTAGCCATAAATGTACTTAATTAATTTTAAATTAAATATATTTAATTTAATTTAGATGGTTGTATGCTTTTTCGGGAATTTCTTCAAAGCGAATTTAGCGAGGAAAATTTGGATTTTTGGTTGGATGTTGAAAACTTTAAACAAATGAAGGATTCAAAAAAGCAAACTTTACAAAAAGCCCAACAAATATATGATACTTATATTAAAGAATTGGCACCTAAAGAAGTAAAAATATTTTTTAATTTAAATATATTTCTTTATAACCCTTCTAAATGAATGATAGATAACTTTTGTTTAATTATTCTTAAAATAAGGGTTGTTAGTTCTTGAAAAATATTTTTATATCCGGAATGTGGACGGGAGCATTGTTTTATTTGCGTTAAATCGTAGCGTTGCGTTTTGCATTTTTTCAACGAAAATAACGCAAAAAACATCTAATTCGAGGGCAAAAAATGGAAGAAATCTGGCTCCTTGGCCTCCCAAAATTCTTAAAATTTTTGCCTCACCATAACCATTCCTCTCAGATTTTATCCGGGAAGAGTAATAAATCATAAATTTGTCCTGACCAGGAAAATTATTTTACCTGATATTAATTTAAAATATTTTTGTTTTAGGTAAATTTGGATAGTGAAACAAGGATGAAAACAAAAAATGGATTACAAAGTATTCCATTAAAAACAGATATTTTTAATTTGGCACAAAACAAAATTGAACAATTAATGTCTAAAGATAGTTACTCTAGGTAATTTTTAAATTTAGGAAAAAATAATTATTTTTTAAATTTTAAAGGTTTTTAAAATCAGAGCAATATTTGGATTTATTAGATGATATACCAAATGTTGGAGATAAACCTCGTTCAGCTTCGAATGGTTTACTTCGTGTATCTTCAACAAAAAGTAATGGAAGTATTTTAAATTCTAAAAGATCAACAGCTAGCCGTTCCCCTTCTCTTTCACCTAAATTAGGTTTTGGGGGTGGTGGTCGTTGTGTTCGGAGAAATACTTGTTCGCCTACCTCTCCTGTAACATCACTACAAATTCCTTGTATTCGAGAATGAAAAATATTTTTTTAATGAAAGAAGAATATTTTAAAAAGAAAATTATTAAATTTATATTTAAAAAATAATTTTCTAAAAATTAAATATTTTTTGAAATTTTTATGTGTGTATATTTTTTACTTATAAATATTTTCATTAAAATGTCTACTACTATTTTATTTTATACAATTCCCGATCTCCTCCTAATTTTAAAATATTTTTTTTCGAAATTAAAAGAATTCTTTATTGATTATATTCAAAAACTCTTCCAAAAATCTTTTTAAAAATATTTTTGTCTAAAAAATAAATTTAAAATGAAGAAATAAATAGTTAAATAATTTAGAAGTTAATTTATTACAATTTTTTCTTGACTTTTATTAATTTCTTTAATTAAATGGTATTTAAAATAGTTTTTTTTGAAATTTTTTTAATTAAATAAATAAGCAAAATCAATTATTTTTATCCTTAAAGCAATTTTTGGATTAAAATTAATCACGAGAATATACCCCAAAAACAGAAAAAAAGAAAAATACCTTTGATTAATATTTAAAATAAAATTTATTTATTTAGCTTTTTTAATTTAATTAAATGACTTCAAAGCTTTTATTATACATAAAACTTTGGCCTTTCTCAAAAAGTTTCATTCATTATTCTTCAAAAAAGAAAATAAAATTTTAAATGAATAATCCTCCTCTAAAATTTTCCTCAAAATTTCCAATAATTTTAATTATTTTTTTATATTTTAATAATTTAATTAAAGCTCATTTGACAGACAATGAACAAAGTAATTAATTATTTAAGAAATAAAGGAGATTATCGAGAATTCTTTTATTAAATTAAAATTTCAAAGAAAAAAGATAATTTAAATATTTTTTAGTTTTTAAAAGGGAAGAAATAAAAGAAGAGAAATGGAGTGAAGTTGATGAAATGAGGAGTGAAAATGAAAAGAATGTTGATGATTTGTTTAAAAGTGCAAAAAATGGTGAGGAAGATAATAAAGAAGTATTTGAAGAGAAGAAAAGTTTATTTTCTTTTGTTAAAGCTAAAGAAGAAAGAAATGAGGAGGAGGAAGAAAATAATGGAGAAGAAAAAGATTGGGTAATAAATAAAGGATTTGGAAGAAGAGAGGAAGAAGAGGAGGAGAGGAGAAAAGAAATAAGAGAAGATGGAAGTCAATCAAATTTATTTAATAATTTTTATGAAAATAATAATTGGAATAATAATAATGATGGTCAATTTAAATTTTGGCAATGGAAAGAAAATTATATGCCAAAAATGGGTGGTGGAAGATGGTGGGAAATGTGGGGAAGGGAAGAAAATGATGGAGAAGAAAGTAATAATAAAGTATTTAATTGGAATGGATTAATGGAAAATAAATGGAAAATAGGTAAATAAACATTATTTATTAGAATAGAATGGACTTGAAAATATATTATTATCTACATAAATTAGTGACAAAGTTTTGGAGAAAAATTAATGGATTGACAAGGAATATCGAAAAATATTTCGCGATATCTCGGAAAATCGTGCGAACTTAAATGGACAAAAAGATGGGGGGACAAGAGTAATTGAAATAGAAAGTATTTTTCAGTTAAAATTCAGCTCGATAATCGAGATTTTTGTTTGAAGTCCTGTGTTGTTTTTATCTAATATGTCGATATTGATAAATAATATTTTTGCACTATAATATAAGTATTATATCAGTCCAACCCCTGGTACATAATTACCTATTTTACAAGTAAATTTGTTTAAAAAATATTCTTTAGATAATGATTGGTGGAAAGATGAAAATTATGTAAATAAAGATTTTTTTATTCCTATAAATGGTTTACCTCGTATAAATGGACAATATTGGAAGGGATTTAATGAAATTGAAGATAAAAATGAAATGAAAAAAATAAATAAAGAGGAGACAATTGAAGAAGTAGAAGAAAAAGTTCAAGTAGATGAGGAGGAGAATAAAAAAGAAGAAAATAATAATGGAAGGTTCTCTTGGGGAGGAATATTTAATAGAAATGAAAATAATGGAGAAAAAAAGGGAAATTGTTGGTGGAAGAAAATATTAAATGGAATTGGAAATGTTGCTAAAATGTTTGTTAAAGGAGATTCAAATGAAAAAAGTGAAAATTTGGATAAATTAGATAAATTTGGTAAAATTAATTAATTAAAGTTTATTTAAACGTATATAAATTATTTTCTTTTAAGAAAAAGATAATGAATGGAGTAAAAAAGAAAATAAGGAAGAATTTATTGAAAAAGAAGAAATTATTGAAGTTAAAACAGAAAAGAAGGAAGAAGATGAAATAATTGAGAAGAAAGATAAGGAAGAATTTGTTGAAAAAAGAAAATCTGGGGAAAGGAAGGGTAGCCATTGGTGAAAAGTTTGATACATTGGATCAGGGGCGGGTGCAAGAGAAAATTTTTTGAATTTAGAAAGGCCAAAATTTAACGTAAAGTAATGCGCCCGACCCTGCTTGGTATATCTTTTTTGAAATAAGAAACGAATTATTTTTGGAGTAAAGAAAAGCAAAACTCTCGGGCCTAAATGTGTGTGGACAACCAACCTCTAATTATTACACGGAAATTAAATGTTTTTTTAAATAAAAATTGGATTTAACATTTGACTACCCTAATTGACCAATAAATGATTCTGAATATTTATATTTTATTTACGTTATTACCTAACAAAATTACACATTTTAATTAAACAAAATATTTCAAAATTAGAAAGTTAAAATTAAATTAATTTTAAAAAAATATTAGAATTAAACAAATTCCAAGTAAATATTATTTTTTCAATTTAATGGACAATAATTTCTGTCAACAGACCCAAACAATTCCAATTCTTGTGCTACTTCATCTGGAACATTTCTTCGCCGATTCTTTTTCCCAAGGAAGATTACACGAATACAACCAACATATGGCTCTAAAAATTAAAATTAAATATTTAAATTTAAATACTTATTTTAATACCTTGAGTATCCAATCCTTTTAATTTAACATCACGAGGAACTCCACCCAAATATAAAGGATCGTGTGTACTCGTTTCTGATGCCGATTTTTTCCCCAATACTCGAAGACTACCTTTAAATTATTTTTTAAAATTAATTTCTACTTTCATCTCTCTCCTTACTTTTTCCATCAACATTTAACGTTAAAAGCTTTTTCTTTTTATAAATTTTCACTTGATGCCAATGCCCATCACAAAGAGAAGTCCCAATTGGGGGCTCATACAAAACTGATTCAACACCATTTCCATTATCAACAGAAAATTTAACACTTCCATTTAACAATTGTAAACTTAAAAAGTCCAAAACTCCAACAGACACAATAACTGCATTTTTTGTTCGAGGTTTTAATTCTAATTCTAAACTAAATGATGTTCCAACCTTTTTTTAAAAAATATTTTTTTGAATTTAAAATTAATTATCTACCACTAATTGTCTATCCAAAATAGCATATCCCCCTTCTTTTCCAAAAAATAAACCTGGCTCCTTTAAATAGAAAAATTAATTTAAACTTAAATTCATTTAATTCCCCCCTACTTTAAATTGAGAACAGGGGACTGTCCCACTTTCTTTCATTAAAGGTAATTCTTCCAATTGACGATCATTAAAAGCATAATTACGTAAACAACCACCAAATTCTGATTTAACACCAAACAAAAAACGTGCAGAAAAGGGAATTAATTCAATTGGAAGTCCCCCAATAAATAAAGGGGATTGCAAATTTAGTAAATCATTTGTATTTATTGAATTTGTTAATAATTCTTCACTTCTATTTTGGACATTTAATTGTCCATCAATATATAAAGCAGAAGCTAAACCTTCACGTTGTACACGAATTGAATGCCATTCACCGTCTAATAATGATTGACTACTTGTTATTGTTAACTAGAAATAAAGATTTTCTTTTTAAAAATTAATTATTCTTTTTTACTTGTCCAAAAGAAGAACTTTTTGAAGAAAATGCTGGTTTTCCATTTAATAAATAAATTGCAGCAAATTGACTATGTCTTTCATCTGTCACAAACATTATAATTCCATTTGCTGCTGTAGCCCTCAATTCTACTGTAAATACTAAATCTGATCCAGTAATTTCCCCAACATCAAATTCTAAACGAGTATTTGGGGAAAGACCAAAACGTAATCCAGAAGAATCTTCACGTTCTCCATGAGGTTTTAAAGGTAAAGCACATTCACCTTCTGGACGAACTTTTGCAGAGGGAATTGTTGAGGCTATTTAAAAATTAATTTAATTTTTAAAAATCAAAATTTTACAAATAATTTTAGATTCATTTAATATTTCCCCCGTTTTCTTCTCTTCTTGTGTTTGCCGTTCAGCATTAACTGCGGGTAATGGAAGATCAGGCAAAGATTCATCAATTGAAGATGTAAATTCGTTTAATCCAGCAATTGAACACCCAGAAAGTGTTAATTCATTTGCACTACTTTGTGCCAAAGAGAGTAATTGCCCTCCAAAAAGAATATCTCCAATACATCCAACGAATGAAGGGGAAGATTCTAACCGGCCAAAACCCAAAAGAACATCTTTTGAATTCTTTAAATAAATTATTTTTATTTAAAATATTTTTAAGAATAATTATTTACAAGTAAATCAATTCCTTCAATTGGTGCCTGAGTTTGTTCATCAATAGCATCATCAACAAAAACATGCATTATTTTAGAATTTCGATGAACACACAAAAGATGCCAACCACCAGCCAAACGATGACTTAATTCTGTTTTAATCAATCCTGTATCATCCCCGTTTGGCCGAATTGCTAAGAAACGTCCTCCTTCCTCCAAATGTACACGAAGAAGTTCTTCTTGATCATTATTAACCATTACACTAAGTAAATGAACTTCTTGTTGAGAATTTATGGAAATAGATGGACGAAAACGGAAACATAATTCTAATTGTCCGTCAAGTGAAAGGCCGGTAAATTGAGCAAATGAGCGTTCAGAAAGTAAAGTACCAACACGAACATCTCGATTAACACATGAGGATTGAACACCTTTTGATGCTTTTGGACGAGCTAATGAAATATAATCACTATCCAATTTTAAGTTTCGAATACAGCCACGGAATGGATGGACAGCAAAACGACTAAAAAGAAAATTTTAAATAAATTTTTTTTAAAAATATTTTACGTTGTTTCAATGGTTGTAGGTAATCCGCCAAGGAAAAATGAATCAGAAACGCTCATTTCAAAAAGAGAACCAGGGGATTCACCTTCAATCTAAAATAAAAGGAATTATTTTTTCTAAAATAATTTTTTTCTCTTTACTTTATCACTTCCATCAACTTGCAATTTAGCCGTTTTTTCATTTCTATCAACTTCAACCAAATGCCACTTTCCATCATTATATTTCTCTTCATTACTAACTAATTTAGCTGGACCAGAACCCAAATCAAAAAGAAGACTAACTCTACCACCAACCAATTCAAGTACTAATTGATCTCGATCTTTGCCAACAAAAAAGAGTAAACCTTTTTAAATTAATTAATTTAATTTCTAAAAGAATTCTCTAACCATCCGGGGAATAACTCAAAAAAGACAAAATAATAGCTGTTCTCTTTCGAGGATTCCAAGGCCCAACATCCATTTGTAAATATCCTCTACCATTAAAAGTAACTTCATTTTCAGCAATCTTCTCAGAATCGGGTAATTGACGCATTTCAGATCCACTTACTCCATGGGACTTTTCAGAATTCCAAAAACCAATTAATTCTCCATTTACACTCAATTTATCTAAATCACCCGTAAAATGTCTTTGTTGTAGAGCTGACGGTAAAAGAAAAGTTGGTGGAATACCACCAACAAATAAATGACGTAAATCGTCAAAAAAGTTTAAAATAGACTTTCCACCAATTAATTCAATATTCTTTAAAAAATTAAAATTATTTTTATTTAAATATTTAATCTACTTTTTCTTCATCAGGTCCATCCTCAACATTTCCTCCAGGTTTACTTAATTTCATTAAAGCACGTTTTCCTCTTCTTTGTACAACTAATTCTCTCCATTTCATATCACTAACAGGTGTAGACAAATGTGAAAGATTTGCTGCTTTTCCACCAAGATTTAAAGTCATTTTTGGCCGTTCATTTTCCAATTCAATTCCCAAAAATTCTCCAGCAAGTTGAGCATTAGAAGAACCAAGGAAGAAAAGAAAACCTTTTTAAATTTAATTTAATAAATTTAAAATAAAATTCTTCTTTTTCTACCATTTCGTTCGCGTGTTCTAAAGAAGAATCGAACATCTGTGACTTCAGCAAAATCATCAGAAGTTTGGGGAAGTGGCAATTCCAAATAACTTCCCCTCTCAAAATGTGCACCCAATTTAACACGATTTGCCTTGTCTCTTGCAAGAATAACTTTTTCTTTTAAAAG